GTAGGAACTCTTGCATGCTGGGAATCCTAACTATGCCATTTACAAATTTAAAATTTCAACCACTTCTCTCTGTTGATGGAAAAGTGGTTTAACGGCTGCCTCGGGGTAACATAAAAGGTGGGATAGATGAGGTGTTACCATACCCTTTCTCTGGTGCCTTGGAATGTATGTTTTCTTGTATTGGGAATTTATTAGGAACCAGGAGTCTTTGACAAACAGACTTGACTATGACAAGCCATCTGTTTGTCAAAAACCACTTGTAGACCATGCGGTCAGTCTTGTAAGTCAAGCCAGTGTTGTAAAGAGAGCGATTCCCGTGTGTTGCCGCTAGTGATATGGGTTTTGTCTTGCAAGAAACAGTTCTGTGGAATATTTTTTTAAAAGAGAGAAAAAAAAAATAAGTAAATAAATAAAAGAGAGTTTCCGTGATTTGCAAGGCACTTGCATGCATGAAAGATATTTGCTGTCATTTTAATTAATGGTAGATAGGCAGACCTTTTAAAAAAACGTTTCTGAAGAAATGACAAGGACCTTTGCATGGTGATTGTAGTTTGCTTTTTTAAAAAATCGTTTTTCATTTATTTATTTATTTATTTTTATTTTATTTTATTTTATTTTATTTTTTTAAAAAGATGACCGGTAAGGGGATCTTAACCCTTGACTTGGTGTTGTCAGCACCACGCTCAGCCAGTGAGCGAACCGGCCATCCCTATATGGGATCCGAACCCGGGGCCTCGGTGTTATCAGCACCACACTCTCCCGAGTGAGCCACGGGCCGGCCCTTTTCATTTGTTTTTAAATCACAAGAACTTCCTGCAGTAATGGGCATGTTCTGTAATCTCCACTATCAGATACGGCAGTCACTAGCCACACATGACTATTGAGCACTTGAAATGTGGCTAGTGCAAGTGAAGAATAGAATTTTAAATTTTATTTGATTTTAATTGATTTAGATTTAGATGGCTACTGTGGCCTGTGGCTACCATATTGGACTGTGCAGTTTTAAAACTTTCCCTTCCTTGAATGTATCAAGACACACATGAACTTGTCTGTATTTAGTGGCACGTCATAAAACTTAACATGCAAGACTCTAATAGCTGATAATTCTTCCCAGTGAGAAACTTGTGTCTGTGTGTGCGTGTGTGCGTGTGTGTGTATGTGTGCGTGCGTGTGTGTGCGTGCGTGCGTGTGTATGCGTGCGTGTGTGTGTATGCGCACACGTGTGTGTATGCGTGCATGTGTGTGTATGCATGTGTGTGTGTGTATGCGTGCGTGTGTGTGTGTATGTGTGCGTGTGTGTGTGTGTGTGTATGGAGATTATTCAAAAAGACAGGTTGGTCTTAAGATAGAGCTGAGATGTCTTGAATTAAGTGAAAAGATGATCAGATAATGACTTACAGCTTCTTTTAAGTCTGTTCTGTGTGAAACAAAAATGAATCCCTAAGTCATATACGGCACTTAACGTGTTGTTGCATGTGTGGGATCTGTGTTCAGATCATGACCCACATTTTATTTCTAGCAGTTGTTTTTGGTTGGCAGATGAGTGCCCTAATCAGTAAGTTTAGCAATAATGCTTATTTTGATAATTCTGTCCTTGAGTATCATGGTTTACTTTATTGTCCTATCCCGAGTCTCTGAACACATATGAAAAAAAAAAATGAGTGAACCCAGTAATTAACCTTGGAGATTAATAGACTCAAGCAGAGTTTCACTTTGTTAAATAGACTCTGCTTGTGCCATTTTGATGTGTTGGCAGAGTCTGGGGCAGATAGCCATCAGATAGGAAACACAGCCCTTAGGTCAGAAACAGATCCACCCAAGTCCACCTGATGATGCGGGTAGGGAATTACACTGGTGCAGGAAACCATTCTAAAAGTCACGCACTTAACAGTTTTTATTGGTTCTTTATATTTCTATGATGTTTTTGGGAGATACCATGTATGAATATGTAACTACCATAAATAGCAACAGCTTATATTTTTAAATAGTTTTCAGAGCAAGTTTATACATTCTCTTTTGGTCCTCATAACATTTTGGTGAGGTCGTAGGTATTATTGCCACTTTTTCTAGACTCTCAGGAGTCAAGTGAGCTATCCAAAGGTATGTGGCTAATAAATAGTATAATCAGGAATGTGAGGGGGAGGATGTGAGCCTACCCTACTTTTCCTTGGGCTTAGAGTTGGGAAAGGAAGTGGGTCTAAAATTTGACACCTAAGGAAATGGAGTTTCCTCAGCGCTTGGGCCTTTCCCACTTGTGTTAGGGGACATGTCTCAGCGGGCCCTGCTGCTGCCCAACTGCAGCACAGCTTAGACCTGAGCTTGGGGTCTGGGTTAGTGTGGTGGGGATTCTGGCCCCACCTCGAATGAGCTGTGTGCCAGATAAGTCAGTCACTTGAATGCCCTTGACTTTTGTTTCTTTTCAGATGAGTTGAATGCAACTTCCAAATCCCCTTTCTTTGCTAATTCTATAACACGAAATGCTACGTAAAACCAGGAAGGGTTCTACATTTGAATAGGGAAAGTGCATGGATAAAGATACCTATCTACTTTTTGGCCAGTTTTTTTTTTTTTAATGTTCTTCAGTTATTCCTATGTAATGCTAGAAACGCTAGAAGTGATTTTCCTCAACTAAAATCTACCTAGGAGGTATCTTCTACTTGACTGGGTTTAAGGATATGTTATTTTACATATTTATCTATCATATATTGTCTTTTCTGCCACTTCTTAATCTTCTATCTCTTCTCCATATTATAGTGCCTCCCAAAGTGCCTACTTTGGGGCTGTTTTGTCCAAAAGTCAGGGAGGAGAGTGAGCATGTGAACTAGAAACCATAGATTGTCTTCTGTTTTTATTTATTTATTGATACTCACTCAATACGTTTAGAGTAAAATCTTTGTTTTCTAGCCTGTCAGCATAGACTTTCTCCAGTTATGCCCTCTCCTCTTTTTTAAAAAAAAGTAGAATTTAACCTTTCTGGAATTCAGACTTTTACTGCTACAAGTCAGCAAAAGCTTGGCCAAGGCTATGAAACACTGGCAATGTCGTGTCCCATAGATCAGTAGAAATCTAGAGGAGCTGATCAATATGTTGATTTATCTGGAATCAAGCAAGAGGAACCTCATACAGAGTCCACAGCTCAGAGAAAAAGTACAACTGCAGAGCTCTCTCACAGAGGTGTTATTTCTAATGCAAGTCAACATGGTGACATGTTTGTCAACAATCGGTCCTATCTGGAATACTACATGTGACTCAAGGTAGTTAGAGCATCCCATATATTTCTAATTAGAGAATCGTGTTCTCATGCAAAGTATTTCTCAAACCCTTGGCCTTAAGAGAATGTTTGTTGGAACAGAAAACTTTCATGCTGCTGATCTATAAGTCATAATGAAAATATGATCTAAAGTGGATAGGATTTCAAGGCTAGTGTAGACAGTATATTAACATTTTTTATGTGCCCTGCTGGGTGTTTTCTGGGTCTTGAGCCAGCATGCATGTCAGTCCTGATGCCCACCAAGTTCAAGCTCTTTGTGGAATTTGCTTACCAAAGATGATCAGCAACTCCATAATGGTTAACTGCTGTGATTCTTAAACTCAGAGGCAAAAGCCAGCCTGCAGCTGAAAAGGAACGATGGCATTTGACTAATGTAATCAGAACTATGCAGCCACATTCACTGTTCCTAGTCCTTTCATGTGCTGTAGGGGAGGAAAAATTTCTTTTCCTCTACCCATCTTACGTTTGGAGCAGAAGCCCCTATGACAAAAAAAAAAAAAAAAAAAGATTAACAAGAGAAAATCATACCACCTTATTTAATATAAATTTTGCATGACACGGGAGCCTTCATAATGAAATGCAGACCTGGAGGAACAGGTAAGCCCTAGTGTTTTTTATAGCAGGTGTGATGTAGAATGGAGAGTCACAGAGAAATATGATAAGGCAAAAAAGAGTATGATCTAATGGTAATAAACTGGGGGAAACTTAGCAGGGCCTATTTGTTCAGATTGCTCTTCTCTGTGTGTCTGTGTCTTCAGAGATAAGGATGGTCATTTCCTCTGGGAGAGCACCTCTCACATCTCACATGAGAGTCCTGTGACCTGCTTCAGGGAAGAAGGGCAGGGGAATGTTGGAGAGATCTTCCTGCACGTGCTGTCTCTGAAATTCCTTCAGTTTAAAATATTCAGTATACCAAGGTGCCGTATTTTGGGGTAGTGTGTCCTGAACTAACTCATTGCCAAAGGAAACAGTTGTGATCAGAAGGGTGAAAAGCAAAAAGCTCTGAGTATCCAGGTAGTATTTTATGCTATCCTATTGCATTTGAGAACAAATTAAAATAAGTGGGAACAGGACTAGGGCTGGCCAGTTACTTCAGTTGGTTGGAGCGCAGCCTTGTACTCCAAGATCAAGGGTTCAGATCCCCATACCAGCCAGCTGTGCAAAAACAAACAAAAAAAACAGCAAAGCAAAAATGATCCCCATTTGCAGTGGGAATAGGACTAAGTGATTCCTAACCTCAGATGGACTAAGATTTAAGTCCTTGTGCGACGAGAGTAGATTCACAGAAAATAAATGGGTCCATCAATGCGGGCTGTCATTTTAAATCACTCTGTTGATATAACCCCTGTAATAGAAAGCAAACATTAGGTAAGGGGGACAGGAGAGCAATCTGCTTTCTAGGCTTTTGTTGAAGTTCAGAAATGATCAGTGCTCTTCAGAAGATTATAAATTTCAATCTACAATGAAATGCTTTTTAAAATTTTCTGAGTAAGTAACTTCTAATTTATTTTGAAAGCAAGTGATTGGTTTCTCTGAGCAAAGGAGGAGGCCATGGTGTGTGATTGGACTAATCTTTTCCTGTAGCAACTAGAAAGTGGTAATAGAATGTGCCTCAGTATCTTCTCTGAGTGGGAGTTAATTATGGAATGTATTTGGGACTGAATATTGAATAATCGTCCAGGGTTTTTTTTTTTGACACCTTGCTAAATTAGTTCCTCTTGTGATCTAGTGATAGATACAGCGATTCCAGTGATGACAGCTTTTCAGAGCCAAGAATAGCTGAGTTGGAAATGAGCTGAAACAAATGCATGGCTCTGAGTAATGGGACTGCCTGACAGGTAAGGTGGAGTCTGCGAGTGTTGTTTGTCTGTCTTACAGACAAGCTGTCGTTTCAGTGCAGAAAGGAGAATTACAGGACTGGTCTTGCAGGACTCTGCACCCTTGGGATGCTCCTGTTTGACTAACACAGTTAGCAGGACAGATGTGACAGCCCACAGTGCTGTCAAGAGCTAGCCTTTGGGGAAAATGGAATGCACCTGAGGCCAGGAATGCATGTATAAGTGCACCTATAAATGTACACCTGGAGGCTGTAGTGGTTAGAGTAGTCTACACCAGGGGTTGGCAAGCTTTTCCTGTAAGGCCAGATAGGAAATATTTTAGACTCGTGGGCCATACAGTCTCTGTCACAACTGCTCCACTGTGCCATTGTAGTGGGAAAGTAGCCCTAAACAATACATAAATAAATGGGCGTGGCTGTGTTCCAATAAAACTTTACTTATAAAGACAGTCTGCTGACCCCTGGTCTAGGTCACTGATAGAAAAGCAGATTTCCTTGGATTTGAATAAAATAAAATAGCATTTGATTTCTTTGTAGGGAAATGCAAGAGACAGGCTTGGTGTTCAGAGGCAGCTCTGTTATGCATTAGTAGAGAGGGTTGCAGCCTGCCTAGCTTTATTGAATTTATGCTCAGAGGCAGATATCGCCTGGGATTACAGGGGTTATGGCAGGCCTTGAGTGGATACACTGCTCTTTAGTACGGACAGAAGCTTTTGGAAAACTTGTAAAGGGTTCATTGCATTAGTGCGAGCTCTCTTCATGTTTCCCTACAGGGCAGAGTATTTGTGTTCATTAGGCAGGAAGCAGAGCTGTGTCTATTTAGGTCTGCCTCAAGCATGGAGACCTTTGGGAGCAAGGGTGCAAACGTTAGATGGAGGTATTTTAAAGACTTGTATTATGCAATTTCTGATGTCGCTAATGTTTATATTCTTTTCTTTCAGTCTCTGAAGTAATTGAAGTCAAGATGAAGGAACTAGCTGAAGAAATCACCACACTTACAGAATTGCCCTGTTCTCCACCAAACACGGGATGTGAAGCCTCAAAGGGAATCTGATAATACATCCATGAACCAGAACCAAAGGGGTAGTTTTCTTTTCCCTCCAGAGGTGGCCTTTTATACTTAGAAATTTCTGTAGCTGATTAAACTTTTCCCAGCAACCTCCCTGGGGAGAAGGTGTGTTCTTGTTTTGTTCAATGTATAGCAATGCCAAGATGAAGGATCTGGTAACTGGGCCTTTGCCATGTTGTATGGGAAGGGTGGCAGGGCATGTGCTGTAACTAATTTTGAGTCAAATGAGTCATTCTGTTGCCTGGAACTCAACCACAGATTTGTGTGTGGCCCAAGATCGATTTCAATTTCTCACTCTATTTCCTGTTAAAAGTAAAATTTAACAGGTCCAAGACTTGTGGTGGAAAGTAAGAACCTTGCCTGAAGCACAAAGTTTAAGGGGCTCCCCAAAACTCAGGAATCAAGATCAGTCATATAATTGAGGTGAAATTCACCTAACATAGAATTAACCCAGTCACCACGTCTGTCTAGATCCAAAGCGTTTTCATCACTCCAAAATAAATCCCCATGCCTATGAGCAGTCACTCTGCATTCCCTCCTCCTCCCAGCCCCCCGGCAACCACCAATTTCCTTTCTATCTATGGATTTTCCTATTCATGTAAGTGAAATCGTACAATTTGTGGCCTTTTGTGTCTGGCTTCTTTCATTCAGCATATTTTCAAGGCTCATCCATGTTATAGCATGTATCAGGACTTCATTCTTTTTTATGGCCAAATAAAATTCCATTGTATGTATGTATTTACAACAATTTGTTTATCTGTTCATTTGTTGATGGATGTCTGGGTTGTTTCTGCCTTTTGGCTGTTGTGAATAGTGCTGCTATGAGCATTCACATGCAAATATTTGTGAGAATACCTGTTTTTAATTCTTTTGGGTACATGCCTAGGAGTGGAATTGCTGAATGGTAATTCTAAATAGAATTACTAAAAAAGTTAAATAACTTTTTGAGAAAGGATCAGTAATATTTTAAAGCGATATTTAAAAAAATCAAAATTAATAAAAAAAATTCACAGTGAACAAAATACCAGATTTTTTTTTTCTTTCCCCTTTTTGTCTTTTTTCGTGTCTGGCAACGGATCGCAACCCTCAGTGTCGCGCCCATACCGGACCGGGACCGGCAACGGGATCGCGACCCTCGGCCGAACCCTCGGCAGGAGCGCTGCTGCGCTTCCCAAGCGGCGCACTGTAGCAGTGTGCCACTGGGCCGGCCCCCAAAATACCAGATTTTAAAATGCTCCCTTAACACAGCATTCTCATCTAGCGTGCTTCCTAATTTTCCTTGTTGAATGTGCTTGAGATGACTTAGTTGTTGCTTACATTTAGGCTTTCTGATACTACTTTAAATATTTTAACTGCTCAGTTAATTTTTTGTGGTTATTTTTGGTCTTTGAACATTTTTTTTTAATGCTGTAAGGTGTTACACAATTATTATTATTTTTTTTTTTGTCTTTTTCCATGTCCGGCAACAGATCGCAACCCTCAGTGTCGCCCCCGTACCGGACTGGGACCGGCAACGGGATCGCAA